ACATTTAGGATGTTTCCAATTTTTCACTATTAAAATGTGGCAATAAACATTCTTGAATATGACTAATGGCCCTTAGGTAATCAGCCTGCTGTCCATCACGTGTGTGGCAAATACTTTTTCCCAATTTGTCATTTGTGTTTGGTGTTTATTTCTTTTTCTCTGTTCAGAAGTTTTTCAGTTTTCAAATGTACCAATTTTTCATGGCTTCAGGGTTTTGTGTCACACTTGGAAAATAAACTTTACTTTTTTCATCAGTGAGAATGGAGATAAGAAGAGTGCCGACCTCATACAACCGCTCTAAGTATTAAATGAGACAATGTATATGGAATAACAAAGTGCCAACCACAGTGCCACACATGCACATATACACAAAATCAGCTTATAAAAAAAGGGCATAAAGGAAGGATCTCTGTTTTACAAACTTGGCACTAAATCTGTATTCATTCAGATGTCATGTACTCTGCAACCCTGTTAACTGCTTTTATGCCTGGAAACTGAAATTATCATCTCTGGCTGCTCACCATTCTTCTTCCAATATATCCTCCTAAAATGAAAATGACATTTTCAAGGCAGTTCAAAAATGTTAAGGGATAAAGTCCTACCAAAGACTGGGCCTGAGGGGCCTGAGGATTTTGCTGGTTCATCGACACATTGGATCCTGAGCCAGGTCCGGCGCTGTGGACTGTCTGAGGGTTGCCTGCAATCAGTGTTGGGATATTTGTCTGGCGATGCAGAATTTTCTAAAAAGTGAAAAGACAAATCTATGAGCTGTCTGTTTCTACCCCACTCAAGGTTTACCCTAGTATTTCCATAAAAGAACCAGAAGCACTCACCAAGGCAATTTCTGGATCCACAATTCTCATCACTACCTGGGCTTGTAGCAAAGCATAAGCCAGTTGAGGGTTCTGAAGCAACATGTTCCGTGCTTCCTGAGGACTATTCTGGACACAGAGCTGTGAAGATAAACAGATTCATCATCAGGTTCAAAACTTATTACTCAGAAATTGACAGTGATTTAGAGCTATTCCCATCTGAGAAATGTAATATTCAAGAGGCTTTTAAAGCTATTATCAGTTTTTACATAGCACACAAAATCTTGGTCATGGCAGGCAAGAGAAGGAAGAGGCATTTCAAATACCATAATACCACCATTTAGGAAAAAAGCCACATTTTAACATCTACATTTGATATCTATGGGCCACAAAAACCCTGCCAGATTGTGTAGATGTGTTTGTGTACAAAAAATGGAAAGCTCTTTGTATGAAATATACAACACACTGTGCACATATGGAATACTGAAGGTGCAAGAAATGTTGGTCAACAGGTACACTTTCTATTTGAGCTCAGGAAATCATTTCCATTAACTCAATGTTAATTTCCATTAACATCAATGACTTCTTGAAGAGTTGATATGCTATGATTTTCCATAACCTAATGCCTCCTCTTACCTTCATTTGTTTCATCAGCTCAAACATCTGCTCTGGTGGAAGACTGGCAACTGCTTTGCTAATGGACTCAGGGGCATCCTCAGGACTGATGGTCTCTCCATAAGGTGACTCAATGACAGGGGCACCAGTGCCAAGGCCTGATTGGGAAGAAAGTACAAAAACATTAAGGAGGCAAATTAAAGAGCTAAATCATTTCAAGTATCTACTTTCCAGGGTTGCTGTAAGGACCTGTTGATAACTTTAAATTTTCTGGAGCTTAGAAATAAGTGACTTGCAGGACTTCCCTGGTGGTGCAGTGGTTAAGAATCCGCCTGCCAATGCAGGAGACACGGGTTCAATCCCTGGTCTGGGAAGATCCCACATGCCACAGAGCAGCTAAGCCCGTGTGCCACAACTACTGAGCCCACGTGCCACAACTACTGAAGCCCATGTGCCCCTGAAGCCTGTGCTCCACAACAAGAGAAGCCACCACAATTAGAAGCCTGTGCACTGGAACGAAGAGTAGCCCCCGCTCAATGCAACTGGAGAAAGCCCATGCGCAGCAACGAAGACCCAACGTGACTAAAAATAAATAAATAAATAAATATTTTTTTAAAAAGAAAAGAAATAAGTGACTTGCAAGTCTTTTATTTCTGTGGAGGAAAGTGACAAAGTATATTTTCTACTCTCAAAGGAAAGCTGAGACCAGGATTGTATAGGTGAACAATGTTAACATAAATTAGGGACTAGGGATATCCATTTCCTTTCACAAGTCATTTCAGAAGCAAAAGTTTCAAATAGAAAAAAATTCTAATTTCAAAATGGAATTTCTGGATCTATTACCTCATGAAAAAAGCCATGAGAATGCCTCGGTATCCCCATCAGTTACACATCTGGCAACATAATTACAGGAGTGGCAAACACTAATGACAGACATAGTTAACATAACTTATGGTGTGGTAAACCTGTAATTCATCTACAACTGGAAATCAACTCCTTGGCAATGGAAGGACTTAAGTCAACTTTACCTTATTTCTCAAAGATACACACTTCCCTAATACAGGTACCTCAGGTGGGTCAGGTAAAGAAGCTGTGTGGCTGACAACCATTTCAGCAGATGCTAAAACATATCATTAAGTGGAAAATCTTCATTGTTACATCTTTACTAACTCATGTTGCACACAGCTTGGGTTTATACTCACTCTTCAGCTCTTCTTTGTTCTTTTCGCTGGCAGCATTGTCCACTCGAAGTGCTCTCCCACTGAATTCGCGCCCATTTAGGTTTCGCATGGCACTAAGTGCTGTCTCCTGGTCTTGGTATTCACAGAAGCCATAACCTTTTGGCTTTCCTGTCTCCCTATCATATACCAACCTGGAGAGCAGAACCAAGTGTCAGGCACAAATGTTACATACACACAGGGTTCCCACTAACATTGCCATGTTCTAATTTGATCTACCGTAAGACAAATAACCTTATCGCTCTGTCTCACTGAAATACTTTTTACACATCTTTTTAAGTGAAAAAAATGTATCTTTTAGTAAAAATGAATGTGAGTTGTATGATATGTGAATTACATCTCAATAAAGCTGTTACAAACAAACAAGAAGAATGCATGTGAAAACTCACCAGTAAAAGGCTTGCCATTATTACTAAGGGTCAAATTTGTGGTGATTTTAAAGAAACTTCCACCAAGTGGTAAAAGGGGATCTCACCTGAAACTAACAACAGGTCCAACCTCAGAAAAGATGTCCTTTAATTGCTCTTCAGTAGCCTCATATGGAATGTTCCCCACTAAGGAAGAAAATAGATAACATATCAAAACTCTGAGTTTGTAACCTAGATCTTTAGTGAGAAAGTATCTACATATATCACTGAAAACGTAACAACTTAGCACAGGGAGATCAGCTAGGTGGTTTGTGACCACCTATAGGGGTGGGATAGGGAGGATGGGAGGGAGGGAGACGTAAGAGGGAAGAGATATGGGAACATATGTATATGTATAACTGATTCACTTTGTTATAAAGCAGAAACTAACACGCCATTGTAAAGCAATTATACTCCAATAAAGATGTTAAAAAAAAAAAGAAAATGTAACAACTGGTTCAAACACAGTGTTCCTCCAATCCTGGTTCCACCGTACTCCCTTAGACAAGATTTCAATCCTGTCTGCTGACTTTATTTACAAGAGAAATAAACCAGTTAGACTAAACACAAAAGGTGTAGGCACTCCTAAGTATCAGTTCTCAGACTTAACTGACATGTGTTAGATTTTCCTTAACTATGGTGAAAATAAATACTTAGGCATTAGTATTTACCTGCAGGTGTTTAAGTCTTATCAATAACTACTAAAAATGTCAATATTATAATTTTTAAAGCCGGCTCATATGTCCGTATTTCTATATATACACGCACTCAAAGGAGAATGACCATGAATGTACTGGAGGATGTTTAAAAATTGTTGTAAATCAACTATACTTCCGTAAAAAAAAAATATATATATATATATATATTCTGCACTGTTTTGTCATGTTCCTTTCAAAAGATGCTTTAAAATCACCACACATACTTTAAAATAAACAACTTATTTTGGCTGAAAAGATTACTCAGAATAGACTCCACCCTCTTTAAAATTTCTTCGATGAGGTCGTAGTCGTTCATTCATTCATTTATTTACAATCCACCTTAAGACGCCGGGTAGTCGCTACCACTAACGACGAACTAAAATGTAACGGGGAAGAAGCAGAGGATGAAAGCCCTTATGAGAGGGCGGGAAGTGGACACAAGGATCTATACCCTCAGCACACAACCTGTATTCTGGGACTGGGGGTGAGAAGTAGTACGGGACAGTTGCCATGAGCCCTCGCTTCTGGATAATAATTGAAGCTCATGAAAAGAGAAACGCATATAAGCTGAACGCTGGTGTAACTTCCTCAGCCACATCGTGAAAAGGCTGCGAAACCTCGGGGGAAGGGGAGCATCACTTTGCCCACGAGTCCACCAGGCTGGCCGCCTGGGATAGGCAGGTCGAACTGCAAGCCCCGCGGCGATCTGTGAGGTGCAGGGGGGCATTCCTTGCCGATCCCTGTCTTTTTCTGTCCCTCCCCGATGCTTGGCTCCACCGAATTCCTCTCACCGAACACCGAACGTAGAGAACGATCCACCGCAGGGTCTCTCACAGTCAAACCCGCCATCGCTCTCTTCCAACGGCTTCCGGTGCGCCAGAGCACACTTCCGTACGGCGCGTGAGCCCAGCGCCGAACACGCTTCCGTACGGCGCGTGAGCCGGAAACTCCGGGGCCAGAGGGACGCAGGGTCCCTCCCCCCGCGTTATGCCGTCAGCAGCCGGCACGCGTTACGTCCGCGAGAGTGCTACTCCCCCAGCTTCCCCGGCCCTGGACTCCCGCCTGAGAATAACTTGGTTCTGAGCTGGAGCTTGGCTGATTTGAAGGCTTTTAGTATGTAGAATTCCTTATTACTCATTTTTTTCTTGGGCTAACGCAAGTAATTGTCGACCACAATAATGAGGCGGCGGCGGCTTTACCATGGAAACAGGGAAGTCCTATGGTAAACAACCGTGGCATTTTCATTTTAGTTCCGCCCTGTTACGGGAGGGAAACGACTTGGCCACGCCCCAGCGGCGTGCGTTTTATTCTTTTGCAAAAGCTGTGAACCTTCAGGGGACATGAGGAAAGACAGTCGCGGCAGCCTAGAGAATGAGGGGCGCTCAACGTCAAGGCGCCCACATAGCTGAGGAGATGGGGAGGTAAACGCAGAAGAGACCCCTACCTGCTCTCGTGCAGCCTCTGGGCTCCAAGTGTTTCGTGGTGGTGAGGGGGCGGGGCGGCGGAGGACGTTGGCAGGCAGGGTATCTGAAAACTTCGGAACGGAAAATGTCTTTGACTAGTTGTACGCCGGAAGCAGCTAAGATGATTTTAACTCGGGTTGCTTTGGCTCCAGAGGCTGCATGTTTAAGTGCTGTATCTACTGCCTACCAGTATAACTCAGAATTTTTAATGGCGTAAGTTTTTTTTTTAAAACCGTTTTTGGAAAAGAACTTAGAGCATAGGGCCTGGTGATGGTGGATCACTGTCTCATAATAATGAACCACCGAAGAATAGGTTGAGGCGCTTAGCCAGGGCTTGTTCTGCCATCAGCCATTTGTGGAGAATGGATTGTTGGTTCTATCACTTCATCAACCACCCCTACTGGTTATAAAAGAAGACATGTGTACAAGGGGTATTTCCTAAGCTTTTGTTTTTTATATTTGTGTTTCAGTTATAGACCATGTGCCTGTGACCCCATGCCTCATTGCTGTTGTCCATGAGGGTCTTTTCCCTTCATTGCTACGCTCCCAGAGTGACACATTTCTTTTGCCTCCAGGTTGTAGCAAAATGAAGACAGAAGGTGTTGTCTGATGCTGTTGTAGGTATTATGACTGAACCTCAGTTAACACAAGGAAATAGGTGCTGTATGAAGAGGTAGGGGAAAAACTAGGAAAGATGCATTTCTACACAAATGGGACTAAGTGTTATTTGGGGGCTTTGAGCAGAAGAGAAAGGGTATGTAGTAGAGAATCAAAGAATTCGGGAAACCACAGGCAAGATTTGTGGGGCATTGGCAGAAAGTTTTGTGGTAAAGTCCTGAGTTCTTATCCAATTTTGTTAATGGCACTAAGAATATTGGATAAGGTACCAGTGAAGCAAACAAAGACATTCAATATTGTGAGGGCACAGAGACTTGGGTTATTTATCCTGGCCATGAAAGGTCATACTTCCAAGGCTGGAGTAAGTGTTGCTTATGTTTGGTCCACATTTAAATTTCCTCAGACAGTCATGGAATGAAATCTCCCTTTGGAAGGCAGAAACCTATGGATAGACAACATTTCACAAAAAAGATTCCAAATAGAACTGTAGCATTACCCAAGTTAGGAGGAATCCTCAGTGGTGCCTGCAAGACATAAGGTAACTTGGGGCCCTCAGAAAGCACGTGAATGTTGACACAGATCCTGGTCAGTATCTGGCTATAGGTACCAATTGGCTAGCTTTCCAGAAAGAAACATCATTCCTAGGTTTTGCACTACTGCATTATTAACAGTGGTTCTGCACCAATATTTATACTTTCTGAGAATGTTTGAGGGTTCAGGTTTGAGGCTACTCTACAGATAATTGTCTAACCCATCAAAGCTGGTTATTCTGGTCTTTCAGCTTTAGCATTTTCATTTATATTTCTTATGTAACTACTTCTCAGTTCATGCTCAGTGAATATATTTCCTGTATTCCTTTCCCAGAATCCTGTTCCTTCAAAGGAGGTTCAGGATTGTTCACCTGCTCAAAGTCTGCCTCATTAAATATGTTGCTTGGTAGCAGGCCAGGGAGTTGGGTGGTCAGTTGAATTGGAGGATTTCCTTTGTTCTTGGCAGTGGCATGCTGACCTCTTGTTACTGAATGAGGACTGTTTCCAAACCAAGCATTGGGAAAAACAGTAAGAGGGGAAGAAGTCTTTTGAGTTTTTTCTCTAGGAACCACCAGGCTTGTCTGAAACTTTTGTCTGTTTGGGGGCTTGTTCTGTTTCAGAACCAGAACTCTGGGAGACCATTGCCTTGGCACATGGAATTCAGGGCCTAGCAAGATGAAGGTGGATAGCACTGGATAGCACTTAAACTCCAACAGTATGCTGCTAGGTGAGCATGGCTCGGTTGAGCATGTGGATAATGGCATCAGGCTGGGGTAAACAGGGTGGTGATTAAAAAGAGCTAATATTTGTGAAGGGCCATATAGATTACAAAGCTTTTTTACATAGATCTCACTTGATTCTCACAAAACCTGGGAGATGGTTTTAGTGTGCTATCTTTTTGTGGTAAAATATACATAACAAAATTTACAGTTTTAACCTCTTTTTTTTTTTTTTGCGGTACATGGGCCTCTCACTGTTGTGGCCTCTCCTGTTGCGGAGCACAGGCTCCGGACGCGCAGGCCCAGTGGCCATGGCTCACGGGCCCAGCCACTCTGCGGCACGTGGGATCTTCCCGGACCGGGGCACGAACCCGTGTCCCCTGCATTGGCAGGCGGACTCTCAACCACTGTGCCACCAGGGAAGCCCAGTTTTAACCATTTTTAAGTGCATAGTTCGGTGGCATTAAGAATATTCACATGGTGCAACTATCATCATTCTCCATCTCCAGAACTTTCGTATTTTCACAAACTGAAACTCCATACCCATCAAACACTAATTCCCCATTCTCTCCTCCCCCCAGCCCCTGGCAACCACCATTCTACTTTGTCTCTATGAATTTGACTACGCTACATACCTCATACAAGTGGAATCATAACACTGTTTTTCTTTTTGTGATTTATTTCAGTTAGCATAATGTCTTCAAGGTTCATTTATGTTGTAGCATGTATCAGAATTTCCTTCCTTTTTAAGGCTGAATAATATTCCATTGTGTGTATATACCACATTTTGTTTATCCATTCATGCATTGATGAATACTTGGATTGTTTCCACCTTTTGACTATTGTGAATAATGCTGCTATGAACATGGGTGTACAAATATCTGTTTGAGTCCCTGCTTTTAATTCTTTTGGATATATACTCAGAAGTGGAATTGCTAGATCTTGTGGTAATTCTATGTTTAATTTTTTGAGAAACCATCATACTGTTTTCCACAGTGGCTGCACCATTTTACATTCCCACCAGGAATGCACAGGGGTTCCCATTTCATCCTCACCAACATTTGTTATTTTCTGGTTTGTTTGTTTTTTTGATAATAGCCACCCTAAAAAGTATGAAGTGGTATTACATTGTGGTTTTGATTTGCATTTCTGTACTATATTGGAAAAACCTACTGTTCTCCTCTCCTGTGTGTCTCCTTTACTTTCACATAGAACACTTTACTTTTGACACTTCTGGTCACCAAATGTGTGGTGGGGGATTTTCCTCACAGCAAGCAATTCTCTGCGACACCAGCTGGGTGTCGTACAGTTTAACTCAATTCTGACACTGTCTACCTGGAGATAGCATCAGATTCACAGGTTAAGGGCTCAGTCCCACAAGACTGCTTTCCACCCCCACTTATGCCAGTCACAAGCCCAGGTTATCACCTGTGTTTTTGACCAATTGGCTATAAATCAGAGGTTCCAGCGACTTCCTCCTTGGGTTCAGTTAATTTGCTAGAGTGGCTCATAGAACTCGGGAGAACAGTTACTTTTATCAGTTTACTAAAGGATATGACAAAGGATACAGTTGAACAGCCATTTGAAGAGATATATAGGGTGAGTTCTTCAAGGGTCCCAAGTGCAGGAGCTTCTGTCTCTGAAGAGTTGGGGGTGCATCATTTTCCTGGTATGTGGATGTGTTCATCCACCTGGAAGCTCTTTGAACCCCCTACTTTGGGGATTTTTATGAAGGCTTTGTCACATAGGCATGATCAATTATTACTCCATTTCCAGCTTCTCTCCCCTCTCTGGAGGAGGGGGAGGGGGCAGAGCCAAAAATTCCAAGCTTCTGATCATGGCTTGGTTATTCTGGTGACCAGCCCCCATCCAGGAGCTCACCCAGAGTTGCCTCATTAGAACAAAAAATGCTGCTAGTGCTCTTATCATTTAGGAATTTATGAGGCTTTTAGGAGTCCTGTGTAAGGGATGGGGTCAAAGACCAAATATTAGAACAAGAGATGCTCCTAGTGCTCTTAGGAAAAGGTTTTAGGAGCTCTGTGCCAGGAACCGGGGACATAACCAAATATATATATTTTCTGTTATCTAACACCTAAGGATTAATGAGGTTGAATGTCTTTTCATGTGCTTATTGGCCATTTGTAGATCTTCTTTGGAGAAATATCTATTTAAGTCCTTCTCCCATTTTTTAATCTGGTTGTTTGGTTTTTTTTGTTGTCGTTGTAGGAGTTTTAAAAAATATATTCTGGATCCTAATCCCATATCTGATATATGATTTCCAAATATTTTTCCCATTCTGTGGGTTGTCTTTTTACTGTGTTGGTAATGTCCTTTGGATACACAAAAGTTTTAAATTTTGATGAAGTTCAACTTATCTATTTTTTTATTTGTTACCTGTGCATTTGGTATCATTTCCAAGAAATCTTTGCCAAAACCAGTGTCATAAAACTTTTCTCCTATGTTTTCTTCTGAGAGTTTTATAGGTTTAGCTCTTACATTTAGATCTTTGGTCCAGTTTGAGTTAATTTTTGTATATGGTTTAAGGTAAAGGTCCAACTTTATCCTTTAGCATGTGGATATCCAATATTCCCAGCGCCATTTGTTCAAAAGACTGCCCTTTCCCCATTGAATGGTCTTGCCACCCTTGTTGAAAATCATTTGACCATTGACCATATATGTGAGCATTTATTTCTGGACTCCCTATTCTATTCCATTGATCTATAAGTCTGTCTTATGCCAGTGCCACACTGTTTTGATTATCGTACAATAGATTTGTAGTAAGTTTTGAAATCAGGAAGTGTGAGACCTCCAACTTTGTTCTTTTTCAAGATTGTTTTAACTTCAAAATCCCTTGGGATTCCATGTGACTTCTAGGCTAGATTTTTTTAAAAATTTCTTCCAAAATGTCATTGGGATTTTAATAGGGATTGCTTTGAATTTGTAGATTGCTTTTGGTGGTATTGACATCATAACAACATTGCATCTTCCAACTCATGAACATGGATGTCTTTCTATTTATTTGTGTGTTCCTTAATTTCTTTCAGTAACCTTTTGTAATTTTCAGCATAAAAGTCACCTTCTTGGTTAAGTTTAATCCTGAGTATTTTATTGTTTTACATATATATATATATATTTGACATATAACATTATATTATTTTCAGGTGTACAACATAATGATTCAATATTTGTATATATTGCAAAATGATCACCACAGTAAGTCTAGTTAACAGTCATCACCACACATAATTACAACTTTCTTGTCTTGTGATGAGAACTTTTAATATCTACTCTCTTAGCAACTTTCAGGTACACAATGCAGTATTACTAACTATATTCACCATGCTTTACATTACATCCCAGGTCATATTTATTTTATAACTGGAAGTTTGTATCTTTTGACCACCTTCACCCTCTGGCAACCACCAGTCTGTTCTAACTATGAGGTGTCTTTTTTTTTTTTTTTGGATTCCACATGTAAGAGAGCTCATATGGTATTTCTCTGACTTATGTCACGTAGCATAGTGCCCTCAAGGTCCATCCGTGTTGTCACAAATGGCAAGATTTACTTCTTTTTAATGGCTGAATAATGTTCCATTGTATATGTATACTACATTTTCTTTATCCATTCATCCATCCATGGACACTTAGGTTGCTTCCATATCTTGGCTATTGTAAATAATGCTGCAATGAATATTGGGGTGCATATATTTTTTCAAGTTAGTGTTTTTGTTTCCTTCAGATAAATACCCAAAAGTGGAATTGCTGGATCATGTAGTAGTTCTATTTTTAATTTTTTGAGGAAACTCCATACTGGCTTTCCATAGTGGAAAAGCCACTTTCCATAGTGGCTGTACCAATTTACATTTCCATCAACAGTGCACAACAGTTCCCTTTTCTCCACACCCTCACCAACACTTGTTATGTCTTGTCTTTTTGATAATAGCCATTCCGACAGATGTGAGGTGATATCTCATTGTGGTTTTTGATTTGCATTTCCCAGAAGACTAGTTGTGTTGAGCACCTTTTCATGTATGTTGACCACGTGTATGTCTTCTTTGGAAAAAAGTCCATTCAGATCCTCTGCCCATTTTTTAATCGGATTGTTTGCTTTTTTCCCTTTTGAGTGTTATGAGTTCTTTATATATTTTGGATATTAACCCCTTATCAGATACATGATCTGCAGATGTTTTCTCCCATGTGGTAGGTTACCTTTTCATTTTGTTGATGATTTCCTTTGCTGTACAGAAGCTTTTTGGTTTGATGTAGTCCCACTTGTTTATTTTTGGTTTTGTTCCTTTACTTACTCTTTTTGATGCTATTATAAATGGAATTGTTTTCTTAATTTCTTATACAGCTTGTTCATTCTTAGTGTATAGAAATGCAACTGGCTTTTGTATGTTATTTTTTACACCTTAAATATATATATTTTTTAATTAAAAATGTGTAAAAACATTACTACAGAAACATTACCTAAGTTCAGAAATGAACTGAGTTATTATTTGTAAGTGGGCCCTTCAATATGATTTTAATATTTGGGAAAATATAAATATATTTTAGTAATTCTGATGAAATTTAGAATTCCATTACTTTGGGGTTTTTTTTTAAAATTTTTATTGGGGTATAATTGATTTACAATGTTGTGTTAGTTTCAGGTGTACAGCAAAGTGAATCTGTTATACAAATACATATATCCACGCTTTTTTAGATTCTTTTCCCATATAGACCATTACAGAGTGTTGAGTAGAGATCCCTGTGCTGTACAGTAGATGCTCATTAGTTACCTTTTATATATATAATATATATATATATATATACACACACACATATATATATATATATAGTGTGTATGTGTCAATCCCAATCTTCCAATTTATCTCTTCTCCCCCCTTACCCCCCAGTAACCATAAGTTTATTTTCTACATCTGTAACTCTGTTTTGGTTTTGTATATAAGTTCATTTGTAGGCTTTTTAAATTTTAATTAATTTATTTTTTTAACATTTTTATTGGAGTATAATTGTGTAGGCTTTTTTTAGATTCCACATATAAGCGATATCATATGATATTTGTCTCTCTCTGTCTGAGTTACTTCACTCAGTATGAGAATCTCTAGGTCCATCCATGTTGCTGCAAGTGGCATTATTTTGTTCATTTTTATGGCTGAGTAATATTCCACTGTGTATATATATCAATTCTTCTTTACCCATTCCTCTTTTGATGGACATTTAGGTTGCTTCCATGTCCTGGCTATTGTGAGTAGTGCTGCAATGAATATTGCGGTGCAAGTAACTTTTCAAATTATGGTTTTCTCTGGATATATGCCCAGGAGTGGGATTGCTGGATCAAATGATAGCTCTGTTTTTAGTTTCTTAAGGAACCTATACTGTTGTCCATAGTGGATGTACCAGTTTGCATTCCCACCAACAGTGTAGGAGGGTTCCCTTTTCTCCACACCCTCTTCAGCATTTATTGTTTGTAGGTTTTTTGATGATGGCCATTTTGACCGGTGTGAAGTAATACCTCATTGTAGCTTTGATTTGCATTTCTCTAATAATTAGTGATGTTGAGCATCTTTTCATGTGCTTTTTAACCATCTGTATGTCTTCTTTGGGGAAATGTCTGTTTAGATCCTCTGCCCATTTTTTGATTGGATTGTTTGTTTTTTTGATATTGAGCTTCATGAGTTGTTTGTATATTTTGGAGACTAAAACCTTGTCGGTTGCTTCGTTTGCAAACATTTTCTCCCATTCTGAGGGTTTTCTTTTTGTTTTGTTTATGGTTTCATTTGTGTGCAAAAACTTTTAAGTTTAATTAGGTCCCATTTGTTTACTTTTGTTATTTTGCAGCAAACTCTGCAAGTTTGCTGAGTTCATTTATTAGTTCTAATGAGTTTTTTCAGGGGGAGGAATATTTAGGCTGTTCTCCATGTGAGATCATGTCATCTGCAAACAGGTAATTTTAGTTCTTCCTTTCCAATTTGGATGCCTTTTATTTAATTTTCTTACCTAATTTCTATGGCTAAAACTTCCTTTTCGATGTTGAATATTATTCATCTGAGAGTGTCTTAATTTCTCTCTCATTTCTGAAGGACAGTTTTGCCAGATACAGAATTCTCAGTTGACATTTATTCTTTCAGCCCTATAAATATATTATCTCACTTCTTTTGGTCTCTGAGGTTTCCACTGAGAAATTTGCTGATCATCTTATTGAGGATCCCTTGCACATAAGAGTAGCTTTTTCATGGTCCTTTCAAGATTCTCACTATAGCTGTTGACAGTTTGATTATAATGTATCTTGGCGTAGGCCTCTTTCAGTTTATCTTACTTAGAGTTCATTGAGATTCTTGGACTTGTGAATCCATGTTTCTCCTCAAATTTGAGAAGTTTTCAGCCATTATTTCTTCAAATAACCTCTCTGCTCTTTTCTTTCTTTCAACCTCTGGGACTCATAATGCATATGTTGCTTGATTATGTCCCATTAGTCTTTTAATCTCTGTCCACTTCATTCTTTTTTGCTCCTCAGACTTGATAATTTCAAATGATAACTTCAGCTTCACTGATTGTTTCTCTTGTTTCAGTCTATTGTTGAACCCCTCTAGTGAATATTTTAGTTGTTACTATATTTTCAGCTCTAGAATTTCTTTTTTGTTCCTTTTTATAATTTTTGTTTCTTTTTTGGTATTCTCATTTAAAAAATATATTCCTTTCCTCATTCCTTTGGTTCTTTGTGTTTTCCTTTAGTTCTCTGAACATATTTAAGATAATTGTTTTAGTCTTTGTTTGGTACTTCTAGTGCCTGTGCTTTTTCAGGGACAATTTCTGCCACTTTATTTTCTTCCTTTGAATGTGGCATATTTTCCTATTTCTTTGTATGCTTTGTGATTTTTTAAATTGAAAATTGGGTATTTGAAAAAAACAGCCTTGCAGGTAGGCTGTGTGCTGGGGAAGACATTTACTAATTAGCAAGGCTTGCTCTGGGCCTTGGGATCAGCCTCTTGTCAAGGCTTAAAGTCTTCTTGGACCTTTTCTAGGCGTACATCTTGCCTAGGCCACTGTGTGTGCTTTTTCAATTCCCTAAAATACACATCTGTTTTTAAGTGTCTTACTTTCCAAAAGACTCTCACCTCTGCTTCTTCTGGGGGCCATTGATGTTCTGTTGTGCTCCTCTACCTCTAATCTCTTGCCCCGGATGTTGCAAGACTATAGTCCCTCTGCAGCTTTCTTGAGCGGTGTCCACTATTTCCTGTCTTTTCCTAGCCTGAGATCCGAGCTATACCGCTTTTCTCTTTCTGAACTCTAAGAGACCAGTACCTTAGGCAGCCCCTAGACAGATTAGAACATTGCAAAAAAGGTCTGCCTTCCTCTTCTTTCCAGTTAGAGGGAGGGAATTGACAGCCAGGCCACTGCATCTCCCAGACTGTGCTTCCCTGCACTACAGGGGAAGGAGAGGTGGGGTACAAGTAAGTAAAAATACCACGAAATTTCCTTCCATTTCCTGTGTGGCTTTTTCTTGATTAAGCTTTCGCTTGGTTGCTATAGACTGTTTTCCAGATCTCCTGTAAAGTTATTTTTTGCTAATTTCTAGTTGGTTTTTTAAAAATGTTAATGTGGGTGGGGGTAGGAGAGCCTGGCGTTTCCTAGTTTACCAACTTACAGATATCACTGAAATAAACAGTAGTCTATCTGTTTTATAAACAGAGATACCAGTGTTTAGATAGTGACTTATACAAGGTTCACAATTAATGAGGACAAAAGCTGGGCTTTGATTCTATTTCTTTTTCCAGGTTTTGTGATTTTTTTAAAAATAAACTTTGAGTCTGTCATGCAGAGTGAAGTAAGTCAGAAAGAGAAAGACAAATAACCGTATGCTAACACATATATATGGAATCTAAGGAAAAAAATGTCATGAAGAACCTAGGGGTAAGACAGGAATAAAGACACAGACCTACTAGAGAATGGACTTGAGGATATGGGGAGGGGGAAGGGTAAGCTGTAACAAAGTGAGAGAGTGGCATGGACATATATACACTACCAAACGTAAAATAGCTAGCTAGTGGAAAGCAGCCGCATAGCACAGGGAGATCAGCTCGGTGCTTTGTGACCACCTAGAGGGGTGGGATAGGGAGGGTGGGAGGGAGGGAGACACAAGAGGGAAGAGATACGGGAACATATGTATAACTGATTCACTTTGTTATAAAGCAGAAACTAACACACCATTGTAAAGCAATTATACTCCAATAAAGATGTAAAGAAATAAATAAATAAACTTTGTATTTTAGGATAGTTTTACCAGAAAGTTCCAGAAATAGTACAGAGAGTTCCCATATCCACCCACTCCCTGCCCTGCACACAGTTACCCCTTTTATCAACGTGTTACATTAGTATGGTACATTTGCTACAATCAGTGAACCCATACTGATGAACTAAAGTCCATACTGTTTTTCGGATCTCCTTAGTTTTTACTTAATGTATTTTTCTGTTCTAGGATCCAGTCCAGGACACTACGTTAGATTGTTCTCATGTCTCCTTTGGCTCCTGTTGATTGTGGCAGTTTCTCAGAATTTCTTTGTTTTGATGACCTTGACAGTATTGAGGGGTACTATTCAGGTATTTTGTAGACTGTGCCTCAATTGGGATTTGTCTGATTTTTTTCCTCATGATGAGAATGGGGTTATGGGTGTTTGGGAGAAAGACCACAAAGGTAAAATACCATTCTCATATATCAAGGCTTTGATGAGCTGACCAGCCTTTACCAGCTTTTTCCTCCATATAGTTATTTTCCCCACTTTCTATACTCTGTTCTTCGGAAGTTAGTCACTAAGTCCAGCCCACTTTCAAGAAGGGTTGGGGAAGATTAAGCTCCACTTCCTGGAGGGTGAGAATCTACATAAATTATTTAGCATTCTTCTATAAGGAAGAATTATTTATTTTGTTTCTCAAATTGTTCCAGCTTTGTTCATTAGAAACTCTTTCACATTGGACCCTATATCCCTTTGGCATGTCCCCATTGTTTTGTTCTTTGAGCACTTCCTTACTTTCTGGCACTACAGGTTGCTCATTTTGTATATTCCCTGCCACAGCCATGGGAGAACCAACCATTTCTCCAAGGAGACCTGGTTCCTTTTATTAAATCAGAATGTCTTCCAGAATATGAAAGATCTAGATGACTGTAATAGAACCAGTGGAAACCCATTTGTAGGGGTATGTGTGTGTAGGAGGTGGTTAACAGGAGCAAAAGAAAAAGGGAAATCTGGAAGGGTCATAATCCAATTCTCTTGAATCATAGTTTACTATCCATTTGGAGGCAATTTAAGAGCACAAACTAAGAGATACCTTGGGTTCAGATGCCAGCTCTGTCACTTTCTAGCTGTGTGTCTGTGAACCTCAGTTTCCTCATCTGTAATGTGGATATAATAACCTCATGAGGTTGTTGGGATGATGATGAAGTGATTTATTTATTTATGTATTTATGTACTTACCACACTCTGCGGCATGTGGGATTTTAGTTCCCCGACCAGGGATCGAACCTGCGCCCCCTGCAGTGGAAGCACAGAATCTTAACCACTGGACCGCCAGGGAAGTCCTGATGATTAAGTGATTTAGAACACAAGCTTTTGCACAGTGCCTTGCACATGGTAAGCATTCACATCTTAGCTATTATTCTTAGTTTCAGTTCTTGTCTGAACTAGCTACTGTAATGTCACGAACAACTGTGAGCTCTCACTTTTTAAATTTGATGCCTTTGTTATTCAGCTTCCTTCCTGTTATATTTCTTTCCCTAGGAATGATTTTCGTGGGACCCAGTGCATCTTCTCATTTGAGATATCACCGAGAAGCTGTGAGTGATGTCATTGCCCTGTACTGGAGAAGCACTGGTGTGTGTGGGGTCTCTATGCAGGTGATGATTCTAGGGACCATGGGCTTGAAGTAGCAGCCTATTCCCCAGACCCCTATTCAGGTCCAGTCCACTCTTGAAACTCCTGAATCAGTGTTTTTCTTCAAGGCCATGAGAAAATTGTGTTGTTCAAATATGGTATATTCGTATTAAAGTGCAGTGAACTCCAAATCTGTTTTTATTAATAGAATAAAAATTCTTTATCACCTTCCCGGCAAATTTAATGTCCCCTTGTCAGGTTAGCTCTTTAAAATGTAAGAAGAACTTGTCTTCCTTTTGATAATGTGATTCTCCTCCTAAAGGCTCTTCCTGTTTCACTGTGGATGAAGTCTAAAGTCCTCCTCCTGAATGTCAGCACCCCCTATTAGATTGCCACATTTTTTATACCCATGAACCTTCTCCCATGACTCCCATGCCTGACATGTTTTCCCATAATTTCCTTCACTAGACTGTCATTCAAATAACTTTTTAAACTCTGCCCAGAGTAATGTAAAGAGTGCTAATACCTCCCTATCTACTGTCTTTTGAACACTGCTGTTCAGTTATTACCTAGAGTGCACTGGCCTTTGGTATGTGTATGGTATAAATACTCAAAATATTCAACATTTGGTTGTGTTTCTATGTATCTTCTAAATATTTGTATTAATGTTGTCTTCTCCCTAAAGAACATGTATGTAAGTACCCCAGTCAATATAGTACTAAGTATCTGCTTATTGATAATGAGGAGGAAGATAAAGATAGGTCTAGAGTATAGTCATTGACAAATTTGAATAAGGGGACTTCTTACATCTGAGGTAGTCAGTGTTTCTGCCTTCTTAAGTCCCTTGGCTGTGATTATAGGAAATTCACTTCCAACTCAGTCCACAGCTGGGTGTTCCTTCAAGAAGATTGCTATTTCTGAGTCTTAGAGCTTGGAACCTATATTTATGGTTGGCCACTTGGGACCAATAATCTCAACCAGTGTCTAATCTTCCTGTAGGGATTGACTATTTTACATTACCATTCCTAGTTTATGCTGATGCTGCCTTCATCCATGCCTGTGATTGGAATCCTCATGCTGTACCTGCTCTGAGAAAAAAATCTAGAGATAAATGGAGTAGCAGATCTGTGCCAAATATACTTTGAAGATAACGGGAAGGTGAGTGCAGGGGAAATATATCTTTTGAGTGACTTTCCACATATACTACCAGGCAGTGACTTTCAGAAAATATCCAAAGTAAGACCAACTGTGTTGTTTACCTTCATCATCTCACCATACAAAGTGTACTGTTCTTATATTGAATGATTTCACTCATAGAATTTGAGTGATACATGTAGATAGTTAGTTGCATGTAATTGGGTAAAGGAGACTATTGGTAAGCAGCCAAGGTCTGGAACTAGTACAGAAAGATAAAATGGTTGAAGTAAAACTATGGGACTTAAGATTTTTAATGCTGTTTAAAAGATGTGGATTGCCTGCTCTAAAAGAAATTAGAGAGGAAAATGATGGGAGAAATGTTAAGTTGGAGTGAAAACTCATGAAAAATGAGTCTTCCTTATTTCCTACAAAATAAAGTGGAGAAGCATTTGTTTCTTTGTTTTTCTTCTTTTCAAAATACACAAGTGGAAAAGAGAATTTGGAAAATCGTCATAGTCATTTTCCCTCTTGCTGTGCTATGGCTATGTCCTATTTGAAAGTACTGCTGTTGTTCCTCATTTCATTTTCTTTACACCTCTTGTAGCTGAAACTGTTGCACATTGCTGACAGGGTAGTTCTTGGGCTGGTCCTTAGCTCTGAAGAAGGCTGGTTCATTGCCTGCCAAATGTTACACCAGGACACTGGAGGCATTTTGCATGTCCACCGAAATGTGGAACCTTGCCTGCAGAAGAATCTAGCTTCCTGGAAGCAGGGACATAGAAGAGAAGCAGCACTGTTAGTATCCTCAGCAAATTATCAATGACAAGTGGAAATATAAAGCTACTAGGGTATCTGTGAGGGAAATGCTGGTGGTAGTCACCGAACTACAGTGGCAAAGGTGGGCTCAACCTGTAGAAACTCACATTGCCATTCTCTACCAACAAGAGCACAGTAAACTGTGTAAGACACAGATCTTGCATATTCAGCTAGTAAAATCCTGTGGTGCCCATGTGGATCACAGAGTTCTGGATATGAACTGCCACCCCTGTCCTCTAATTGACTAGAGGAGGTGAATCCAGGGGCACAAGGGTTCCATCTGTGAGTAGGCTTCCATAGTTGATTCCTTTAATTTATTAGTTCAACTCAAGTTGTAATCCCCTTGTCTCCTAGTGATATGTTTTAATTTTTTTAAGAAAAAACAGCTTTATTGAACTATAGTTCACACTTAAAGTATACAATTCAGTGGTTTTTAGTATACTCACAGAGTTCTGGAACCATCACCACAGTCAATTTTAGAATATTTTTGTCACCTCAAAAGAAACCCTATAACCTTTAGCTATAAGCACCCCAATCCCCTATTCCCTCTAGCCCTGGGCAACCACTAATGTATATTTTGTCTCTGTTTGCCTATTCTGGACATTTCATATAAATAGAATATATGGTCCTTTGTGACTGGCTCCTTTTACTTAGCATAATGTTTTAAGGTTCGTTCATGTAGTAGCACATATTAGTACTTCATCCCATATGTATGTGAGAGAGAGAGTGTGTGTGTGTGCACATGCATGCACACACATAACAGCTATATTGAGACATTATTCATATAACATACAATTCACACATTTAAAGTGAACAATGGTATTTAGTATAATCACAGAGGTATGCAAATATCAGTCATTTTAGATAAATTTAGAACACCTGTTTTCAGTTCTTTTGGGGAATGTACCTAGGAGTGGAATTGCTAGGTCATATGGTAATTCTGTGTTTAACTTTTTGAGAAAGTGCCAAGCTTTCCAGAGTGGCTGTACCATTTTATAATCCCACAAGCAATGTACAAAGTTTCCATTTCCTCCACATCCTTATCAACACTTGTTACTTTGTTTTTTTGCTTATGACCAGCCTAGTGGGTGTGAAGTGGTATCTCCTTGTGGTTTAGTTCTGCATTTCTCTAATAATGCTGTTGAACATTTTTTCATTTGCTTGCTGGCCATTTGTATAACTTCTTTGGAAAATGTCTATTCAAGTCTTTTGTCCACTTTTTAATAGGGCTGTCAATATGTTGTTGAATTGTAAGAGCTCTTTATATATTCAAGATATTAGAACCTTATTAGATGCCTGATTTGCATATATTTCCTTCCATTCTTTGGGGTTTTTTTTAAGACTTAATTTTTTTGTGTGTGTGGAGCAGTTTGTAGGTTCATAGAAAATTCAAGAGAAAGGTACAGAGATTTCCCTTGTACCTCCTACCTCTATACATACATAGCCTCCCCCATTTTTAACATACCCCACCAGAGTGGTACTTTTATTACAACTGATGAATCTGTATCAACACATCGTAATTACCCAAAGTTCATAGTTTATCTTAGTGTTCACTCTTGATGCTGTACATTCTGTGGGTTTGGGCAAATGTATAATGACTTACGTCAGTCATTGTAATATCATACAGAATATTTCCACTGCCTTAAAAAATCCTGTGTACTCAGTACCACCACTCACCCCACAACCCCTGGATACCACTGATCTTTTTTTTTTACTGTTTCTACAGTTTTGCCTTTTCCAGAATGTTATATAGTTGGAATGATACAGTATGTAGCCTTTTCACTTTGTGTTCTTTGAGTAATAAGCATTTATAAGGTTCTTCTATGTCTTTTCATGGCTTGATAGCTCATTTCTTTTTAGCACTGAGTAATATTCCATTGTCTAGATATACCACAGTTTATTTATCCATTTACCTACTGAAGGACATCTTGTTTGCTTTCAAAAGTTTTGGCAATTGTGAATGAAGCTACTGTACATACTTGTGCACACATTTTCATGTGGACATAAGTTTTCACTTCCTGTAGGTAAATATCAAGGAATGTGATTGCTGGATTGTATTGGAAGAATATGTTTAGTTTTGTAAGAAACCACCAAGGTGTCTTTCAAAGTGGCTGTACGAGTTTATATTTCTACTAGCAATGAATGAGAGTTCTGCTCTTCAACATCTTTGCCACTATTTAGTGTTGTCAGTGTTCTGGATTTTGGGCATTTTAATAGGTGTATAGTGATATCTCCTTGTTATTTAATTTGCAATTCCCTGATGACATATGGTGTGGAGCTTCTTTTCATATGCTTATTTGCCATCTTCTTCAGTGAGGTGTCTGTTAAGGTGTAAGGCCCATTTTTTTTTTTTTTGTGGTACGTGGGTCTCTCACTATTGTGGCCTCTCCCGTTGCGGAGCACAGGCTCTGGACGCGCAGGCTCAGCGGCCATGGTTCACGGGCCCAGCCGCTCTGCGGCATGTGGGATCTTCCCGGACCGGGGCACGAACCCGTGTCCCTTGCATCAGCAGCTGGACTCTTAACCACTGCGCAACCAGGGAAGCCCAGGCCCATTTTTTAATCGAGGTACTTGTTCTCTTATTGTTTTTATTTTAATCCTTCATTCTTTAATAATTAGATAGAGCTCAGTTACAAAAGCATTGGCTCTTTGAACATGATTTTTTATTAAGGTATTGTTGATTTACAATATATATAAGTTTCAGGTGTACAACAC